AGGATATCTATCTGGGAATGCTATTACAAACTTGGAAAACAAATATCAGCAGCATTGATTGGATGGTACACATTCAAAGGTACAGATAACACCGGGACATTTGCTGGAAAAGGAGTAGTAGCACATTTCAAAGCGCTTATGCGATGTGACGACAAAATACTAGATGCATTTGCTGTATATGGACTGAGCTGTGAAATACCAGATTGGATATTCAGGCAAATGGAAAGGTATGTGTGCCTTCTTTACAGCACCGCAAAGATCAAGGCAGATAATGTGAAAGACCTGAGATGGATGTTATTTGCACAGAAAGGTAAAGAAGGACAGCAATTACCTCCAACCATGGGGACTCATAGACCACACGTGGAAAGGGTATACTATATGGCCCTGGTATGGAAGTCGTCATGTAAACCAAATCCGTCTATTCCATCAGCAACAGGATACTCATGGAAACTAGAAGATGGTGATTTAAAGACCATGTTCCGCAAAAAACCACCAGCATCAGAAGCTCTTCTCGAAATGCATGTACTTGCAATGGTTCATGCTCAACCAATCTTTGTGGGTGTAAGAACAACAATTTTCTCTGTACAGATGCATGTGAATGTGGTGATAGATGTGAAAATACAAAGGACTTTACAACAGAACTAGTAGATGATATTGAGGAACTTTATTGACTGGATTGGTAAATGGCAACCTGATCATAAGATTGTTGATCATACTACTTTTATAACTTTTAAACAATATTTCCTACCGAAGAAATTATTAATATAAATGTTATAACACTTTTATGACCAAAATACATTATCTATTAAGTAAAGTCAGTAAAGGATATACCCTAACCGGAACGCATTTTGTATCAAAAGGTCAAATATGACGTTTTCTGGCATTTCTGAACAAACATGTTTATTAAAGTAAATATAAATATACATATTGCGAACAATTTGAAATTAATTTCAAGTCTGTACGACTAGTATTTACAGAGATATGAGCATACAAGGTCAAAGGTCAAATCGCCAGAAATGGCATTTCCGGCCATTTTTCAGCAAATGTTCTAATTAGCGCAAATAGTAATATATACATTGTGAACATTTTGAGACCATTTAGAAGCTTCTACCATCAGTGGTTGCCGAGATATAGGCACCAATATCACAAACCGCCATTTTTTTTAAAGCGCCCCCAACGAGTGAAAAACCCATCTACAAATTGGACAATAAACTGAAAATTGTTCCTTGTGGTGTCATTGAACAAATAAAAGTGAAAAATCAGACTTGGCTAAATAATTGAAGTAAAATACAAATGCTTCCTGACTTGTGAAGTGAGGCAAACGTAAGTAAAGTTCCTTGTCCAAGGACATAAGGTATGCGACGAACATCGGTCTCAAACTCTCATGATCAGATATTTAACACCTTACACAGTGCGCCACACGCTCCTACAATACAATTCCTTTCAACAAATATTCTGCCCTTTATTGTATAGGCCCTATATTGTTTTATTTTATATATAATATTTGGTTATCATACTCCTAAACGGGTTACATGCAAAAGATATTTATTTACTCGCGAAAGGCCACCTTATAAGTTGTTATTAAGTGTGGCCTACCTCCTCCCTGTCCCTTATACACATCTAGATGTGTATAAGAGACAGATACAGTACAGTGTGGTGTACCTGTCTGTATCGACTTAAGGCCAGGAAGTCAAGGTGGGTAAACATGACGTTCTCTAAACCGGACAGTCCGGAAACTGGTCAAAGTGTTGGTCCAAAATGGTGGTCGGTATTGGGAGAGTTGACTGTATAGTCATCTGATGCATTTTGATAAGGTCCGATACTATATCATATCACAGACACATCTAGCTTTGATTATATAGGCCTAGTCATTCAATTTTGGTTGATAAAATCCAGGATATCAAAAATATTAAGACTTGAAAAGTGGCTTTTGAAACATGGTACAAAAACTTTGGGCTAATTTTTAGTTAAAGTGCCTCTGCCACCTATTCTGACAATTTTTATAAACTACAGCGTGTTTATGTTTATAAATATATTATAAATACAAGTGTTGGTCATATATGACGAATAAAATTGATTTTGTACGAAAAATATGAGTTTAAAGTGTCATTTTTGAAAGACCTTAGAAACAAAGAGGTCACTCAATGACGTCATTGGTGACCGACTTTGCCAAACTTCATCCAAGCGCGAAATCAAAACAAACACTGCGACGGTGGCCTAGCGGAGGAAGAAAGCCCGAACTTCTACCCTAGGCTGTTAGTATATTACTGTACATAGTTTCCCGAGTTTTACACAATATGCCAGTAAATTGTGTTGTAGGGGGGTTATAAGAGCACACGAAGTAAATATTTTACGTTACCTAAAGATAGTAAAGACGTCGTTGTTGAGTTAAATTTGTCAATTTTACAATTCAAATTTTCATGGGCCGGATGAGCACAAGTCAAAAGAATTTGTGTGCTCACTTCGTGGATGATCACTTCATGTGGATTCAAAACGACGTTGGGCTTGCAATGCAAACTAGGCCTAGCTCTGAGAGATCTTGCTGTCTACTATTAAAAATCAGAGACGATCAAGTCCAGTGAGAAAAAGGAATCCATCCAGGCTAGGGCCTGAGGCCTAGTACGGCAAAGAAAACAACAAGTAGCCCATGCTAAGTACAGGCTTAGGCCCTAATCAATGATGGGGATGAGGTGGTCTTAACTTCCCTGGCCCCTCTAGCCTATCTATAGGCCAACACCTAATTCAAATTCCCTGAACCGCCGCTGCAGTTGTTAATTTACATGTGCCACCATTTTTTTTCTGTTTTGATTATAGTAGGCCTAGTAACAGATGAGACCGAATAGGCCAAGCCTAGCATAGGCGAGTGCGCCCTTCCTTGTACCCCAAAGCATAGCCTATGGAGTAGGGATAAAAAGCAATTCTACTTCTTCACTGGGCCCCTTTTGCACACATAGGTCTAGCAGCCTATGGGCATGGGCCTTATTTCATAGATAGACCTAGGGGGCCGGCCTAGCTACGCGCTACCTGGGCCTAAGCTAGGCTAGGTCTAGCCTGGTGGGCCTATGACTGAAATTCAATAAGTAATATCACTTACAGGTACCTCTCATTGTTTACGGCTGAACATCTTTTAAACAAATCTTGCAAAAGTCCGTAGGCCTAGAAGTACCGTATTTAGCGTAGGTTGTTTGTTTTTTGGTTTTAATTGCCTTTTTTGACTGTCTTCTGTCTATGCAGCAAGCAAAAAAAAAAAAATCACATCCCATTTTTTGGTTGATGATAAAGCAATCTTGAATTTGCGGCGGTTTCGGTAAAAGATGCTGAAGGCCAGGGAGATCGAAAATTTCGCCTTCACGGTTCAAGTTTCTACTAGGGCCTAGGGCCTATATCTACCTAGGCATATCCATGTCTCTGTCCTTTCGCTATGAATGACTGAATAAAAAATACGTTTTTCTAGCTAGCGCTTTATTACAAAATTATAACTTTTGTTTGTTACGCGCGCACACACTGTCACATGTATAAAACGCGCGAACACTCTTCCTATCCATGTGTATAAGAGACAGCATGAACTATTTATTTATGATGGAAGAATAAGGATTTATGATACCGTACGTACAGTACCTACACCTAAACAAAAAACAAAAAACAGAACATCGGATTTTTCCATTCCAAAGTGAGTAACGACAAAAGAGACAATTGTGAAGGTTTACGACTTTAAATTTATTGTGATGTTTATGCACGTTGAGACCAAGTCGGCTATGCTAGCCTATGTAGGGCCTAGGCATGTCTAAAATATATTACATAGGTCTAGGCCTACAACTAAATGTTATAAGCATGGAGGAATTAGTTTTGTAACACGTTACAAAGACGTTACAAAACAACGATAATTCAACAAACAATACATACATGAATGTAGGTACTAGGTGTAGTCTAGGCCTAACAGTAATGTATTATTTATAATTCATTGAGAATTCACCTCGTTTACTGTACCTTTTTTATTTACTCGCGAAAGGCCACCTTATATTATAAGTTATTATTAAGTGTGGCCTACCTCCTCCTAGCCTAGGCCTAGTCCTAATACAGTATTACTGTATTATTATTATTAAAATTTCACATATATATTAATATTAACATACAATATTTTCTTTTCCTTTAATTTTCGAACTTGTGTTGAATGTTGTAACGAATGTGGAATTACCTCTGGCACCATATTACTTGATCGGTATTAGAAATGGAGCACACACTGATGATAAACAAATGCTTGAAAACCAAGGTGGATAGTAGGGATACATTGGCCTGCCATGTCGATCTTTTCCATTTTTGCTACAATGACTAGTTTCTCATTGTCAGTGCTGGATTCTTTTGACGGATTGATTTTTCAATTGGTGATGACGGGTACAAACGCACCTGGCCTAGGCCCTAGTATTAAATAATAATAAAATATTGTAGTACTATTCAGTGCAACAACATCTATCACCATCAGTAATAATAAATAATTAATATTATTGCCATTTACTACTTTTGACTTACGCACTTGTCTCTCAACAAACACGTCTGTAATTATCTCTAAATAAACAGGATGCATGGACTGAAACGCCCATTTATAGATCAGGTGCACACCAATTCAAGCCCAGTCCGCTGCCCATTTTGGGGCCTAGAAAAGTTCGTGGATGTGGTGGTATCTATGTGCTTTCTTTCTGACGTACACCGTATTTATCAAAGCTCTCTAAAAATTATGGCTTAGGCCCTATGCCATTTTTAAGTAATAATCATTAATAATAATAATAATATACGTGATTCATTCCTACTTTTTGGTATTATTGCACAACCATCAAGCAGATAGTAACGTAAACAATCTATCGATACGACGAGAGGCTCGCTCTCGCTCCCACACCAACTAGCCTAGGCCTACTCTAAGTTCGGATTCGTATATTATTATCATCTTCTGTATTTTTTTCTTTTTCATACCAAGACTCATATAAATAGGTATGGACAACAGCCAACGTCATTGTCTTCCTCATCTGTTGTTTCTTCATACGATGAGGATGAGTTGAAATATTCTCCGTTACCAACATGCTCGCTTTTTTCTTCTCGCAGTGTTTATTTGGATTTCGCGCGTGGATGAATTTTGTCGGTCACCAATGACGTCATTGAGTGACCTCGTTGTTTCTAAGGTCTTACAAAAATGACACTTCAAACTCATTTTTTTAGTACAAAATCAATTTTATTCGTAATTTATGACCAACACTTGTGTTTATAATATATTTATAAATATAAACACGCTGTAGTTTATAGAAATTGTCAGAATAGGTGGCAGAGGCACTTTAAACAATTTGCAATGTTTTCTGGGCTTTTACCAGAAAACTTTTACCAGAAAACTTTTGCGATAGCAAAAGAGTAAATTCTATAAAATACAAATGTTGATAATATAAGTTGCATTTAGACTGTTACAATCAGGAAGGTCATCAGTCTGCATTCACCTGAAGAAAATGACTTAAACTTAAAGCCGTATCTTAGCCTGAGAATACATATTGAGAGTATTGGCTGTCTATATATTATGATTCCTACGCTAAGCCTTCTACTTTCTATGTGATCATGTCTTCTATAATTAATCAGAATTTATCATATTACTACTGCATGAAGAAATTGCTGTGAAAAGCTTGCAATTTAGCGGAATATGTTATAATATTATATACAAGTCCTATAAATGAGAGTATATATATATATATATATATATAGCATAAACAGGAGAAAGTCCCGTATTCGGACCCCGGTTTGGACCATTTTTGTTAGCAAACGTGATTTAGAGGCATGGGGGAAAAATCCAGAAGCAATTGACTAGTTGGGATTTGCACTCGGGGCTGGTAGTGTGGAAAACACTCTTCTAACCACTACACCAAACTGTTTTTCACATACATCACTTTGAAATTAATGGTCATATGTTCATTTACACTTTACCGGCAAGCCCGTATAAGTACACACACCCACACACACACACACACGTCTATACGACAAACAGATACAAGTTTCTCGATCATTGTGTCCTTGGACCCTCACCCTTTAAAATTTAGTCACTTCCAAATCTTTGGTAAAGAAACATTGTGGCCAAGACAAATCTCTGATAAAAACTGTTTCAAAAAAAAAAAAAAAAAATCGGTTTTTGTTGATTGTGACCTTGACCTTTGACCCTTACCTTTCAACATTCAAATGCTTTGAGGTCTTTGGTCATGGAACATTGCGACCAAGTTTGTGATTAAAACTATGGGCTGTAGACAAATATATAAAAAAAATTTTTTCGTTGATTATGACCTTAACCTTTGACCCTGACCCTTTAAAATTTAATTAGCTCTAGATCTTATGTAAATTTGGAACATTGGACAAGTTTGATGAGTTTCTGATAAAAACTATAGGCTGTAGCTGTTTATTTATTTATTTCTTCTTTAACCTGGGTGGCCTGTTCAGTGTTGAACACTGCTCTCCCACAGGGCCCAGGATCAACAATAAAACTCTTAACTACCAACAGTTAAAAATTTAAAATAGCTTATAAAAAAAAAATATATATATATATATATATAAAACAAAATCATTTAATAAAGAATAGTTTATAGTTCACAACAAATATGTCGATAGAAAAATAACTAACTAAATAAATAAACAGGCAAAAACATATCATAACTTCCGGCCAACTTCGTTGGCGGAGGTAATAAAAAAAAACCAGGCAAAAACATAACCTCCTCCCAACTTCGTTGGCGGAGGTAATAATAACAGGCGTAAAACACCAGAATGGTCATTTGTCACTAGTAGTAATGTGCCATACATAATATGACACAGAGAGAGGATACATATTTGTTTCCGAGGTAGCATTAGGAAGAGTTTTCGAGCGATTTATATCTCTTACCTAAATCATATAACATAAAGTGATTTATCTGGCCACTGCAGGGCTTGAGGAAAGTGAGGGTCACTTCCTAACCTCATCCTCCACCACCACCACCACCACCACCACCTGTATCCTGGATCCGGCAATGTAAGCTACACTTATTGAATGTCGTCAAACAAGACAATTGTGTGTTTTTAAATTAGTTTGACTGCGCGCCACATTCACCCAAGAATTCTCTGTACGTTACTCTAAACAAAACAATTATAAAATGCATGTTGAATATGCGGCATATTCGTAGCATTAACAGGAACCCCAATTGGTAAAATAAATATAAGAAAGCCTAGAGTACAAATTATCTTAAACTTTGAAGAAGTGGAATCTGCGACTGTAAAAAAATATGTGCCCAAATATGTGCCCAAATCTTTTGTTGTCTATGCAGCAACTGAGCAATTGAGGATTTGTTAGGAATTTCAATTTTCATGTCATCGTAATAATTGTACTAATTTCCTTTTAATTTAGGAAGTGTTTGACGAATAAAACAGAAATCACATTTTATATCGACCCTTATAATCGTAAGCACAATATGTTTGGAATGAAGTGCAACACAACAAAATGTGAGCCTTGTACTCCCGGATTTTACGGACTACTTACTGGAATAGGGTGTAATCCTTGCCCACAAGGTATTAACTGGTTTATTTATGTTAATTCATTAGCAAAGTGCAGCATGCTAAGTTTCATGTATATTTAAGAAATTCTGATAAGAGGTTCAACACATTACAGGAACTTGCTTTTGTTCTTATTCTGATGTTTTCTTATTAGTATTTTATTACAACGGAAAATATACTAAATTTAATTAACCGCAAATACCTTTATTACAATGGTGCAAACTAAATTATTGCCTGTAAAGTAGAATCAAATTATAATATATTATTAATATATTTAATTATAACAACAATTACAATAAAAACAACAATAACAACAATAACAGTAACACGAATGACAACAATAACAATAACAACAATAAAAATAATAACAACAACAATAATAACAACAATGACAATAACAACAACAATAACGACAAAAACAATAAAAAGAACAGTAAATCTAGACTTACTATGTCTGTTTCTATAACAGAATATAGGGTTTTTTTCATTTCTATAATGTGAAGCTGAAATTGCAACAAAAAAAAGTCATTAATAAATACAAAGTAAAAAAAAAACACGAAAAACAAAAACACTAATTCTACTAAAAATTATAAAGTTAAAAAAAAAAAATTAAACCAACTTCACGAATATCACGGCGACAGTGAGACTCGAACTATAACTGCAATTAATAATATTATTGTTGTGTCTTCTTAATAATGTGACCATTATAAGTATTTTTTTAATAATAATAATAATAATAATAATAATAATAATAATTATTATTATTATTATTATTCAAATACAAGCCCCTTTACACAAGGGATGAAAACTAGTCCTATCGCGATAGGCAGCTGACCATGGGCTGACACAGACTTGAAAGTGACGCATGCGCAAAATATGGTCTATAAGAAGAGTTATGAATAATTCATCTAATTTGACTAAACTTTCATACAAAAAAAAAATGCTTGCGGAGCACGGGTATATGCTAATAATAATAATCTTGCTGTACATACATTTAGAATGCTTTATTTTCAGGTGGGTTCTATCAAGACGAATATGGATATGTCGACAGAGGTAATTACAAAACAGACTGTAAACAGTGCCCAATTGGAACATTTTCGCCTAGTCTTGGAGCTGTTTCGATTTTTAATTGCCGGTCATGCCCTACTGGAACAGATACAGATGCAAAAGCAGCTCTTGATGCGTGTCCGTGCTTGGAGAACTTTCATCGCACCTACCGTTACGGCGCATGTCAGCCATGTCAAAACGGTGTCGATTGTACAGGTGGTTACCAGAAATTGAGGACGGGCTACTGGTGGTCGTGGAATTTTACAACTTATATTGGTGCAGATAATCTTGGAAGTTCCGACGAGTACAAACAGTTTGTTAACAACCTTAGTGATTCCCAATTTGACCTTTCTAAACCTAATAGTTTAAACTATACAGAATATAAAGGATTTCTCCCTGCAGTTCATTTGTGTCCACGAAGTGAGAGTTGTCATGGTGGAGGTATTGAAGGAAACTGTTCAAAAGGTTATTCGGGTTGGTTGTGTGCCGAGTGCAGTGTTGGTTATTATGAATTATTTGACAAATGTCACGAATGTCAAGACATTAAAATCATAATCATTGTAATGGTTTTGGTATTATTGACATTCTTTTGTCTTGCCTATGGAGTGTGGAGACTGGATAATCGAACAAGGACAGGTGTCACAAAGCAAAACGACTCTTTTGTGATACACTTAAAAATCGCCATTAATTTTTATCAAGTTTTGGGTATACTATCTGCAGTAAATGAAATTCATTGGCCAGAATCGTTTCAATCTGTTGGACAAAGTCTCCAGTATTTTGATATTGTACGATATGTCAATGTCCTTAGCCCGAGGTGTATATTTCCAGGTGTTTGGAATGCTTACACATTTTTGTATATTGCCATCGCTACACCATTCTTTATAATTTTGTCGACATCTATCATTTTCTTCATCTGGTACATCTACAGGTGGTACAAGTATCATCACTCACTGCATCACTTAACAGACAACTTCTTGACGGTTACAATGATGTTGCTATACTTGACCTACGCCAATACTTGCTCAAACATTATGGCAGTCGGACCGTGGTCTGTCCGTAGGTTTAATGTCACAGCAAATGGTGAATATACAAAACTAGTGTTAACTTCTGACTACTCTATTGACCTTGACGAAGAAGATGGTTTGCGGTACAAGACGAACAAGTACATTACCTATTGTTCGTTAATATATGTGGTTTGTTTTCCTCTTGTTCTCATCCTGGTAATGTATCGCAGATACAAACGTCATGAAGTAGTAGGTCGCGAAGACGAACGACCAGGAACCATGGGAATGAGGTTCTTCTGCAAGCAATACAGCAACAAGTTTTGGTACTGGGAAATAATTGATATGTATAATAAAGCTACACTCGCTCTTATTGCCAACTTTAAAGACGACCAAGCCTCCAACATGTCATATTCCCTCTTCATCACCGTCATCCTTATAGCCCTGTATCTGTATCTTGAACCAATGAAGGCTAAATCAGATCAGAGATTTCAGTTGTTGACACTTCATTATAGTCAACTTATCGGTTGGTGCAATTGTTGACATCGGGGATTCCATGTACACTGTAGATGAGACTATACTTGTTCTTCACGACATAACACCATTTATTCTGCTGCTGCTCAACCTTTCTATTGTGTTTGTTGTTTTTGGTAAGATTTCGTTTTTTTGTCATTGATCAAAATCTTTGTATTCTGTTCTTTAAAAACTAAATGATGCAATTGAAACTATTATGAAATATAATCAATTTTCATTTTTATGATTGCAGTTGACCTACTAAAAAAAAATTAAAGACAGCTTATGGGGCTCACAAGACCTCGACATTTTTGTCAGTAACGTTGAGGAAACCGAGGATAATGGGAATGAGCTTTCTCCGATACTACAGGCAGATTTCGATAGCTTATCGACCTACAATCCAACGATTCACAATTAGTATTAGAATAATTATTGGAATTAAATGATTCAGTTTAGTATAAAAACATTATATTTATTTTAATTATGATAATATAATCAATGTTCATATAATCTTTGATAATTTTTATGATTGCAGTTGACCTACTAAAAAAATTCAGACAGCTTATTGGGCTCACAAGACCTCGACATTTTTTGTCAGTAAACGTTAAAGAAACCGAGGATAATGGGTGTGAGCTGTATCCGATACACAGGCAGATTTCGATAGCTTATCGACCTACTATCCAACAATTCACAATTAGTATTCCAATAATTATTTGAATTAGATGATTCAGTTTAGTATAACAACAATATATTGTATTTTTTCTTAAATCTACAAATTTAGTTACTTTGGCATTTAAAAAATGTACTTTTTCAATCTATTTTTAATATAATCTATTCACAGTGTGCACGCTGAAACATTGGACCCCTTCATCCATTGCTGCTCTGCCTTTCAGCGTGAGGGCTGAAGTGCATCTTACAAGGGCATGCCGTTTTTGGATGAGAATATTATATCATTGATCCAGTCTGCAACCCATGTGTACATTGAAGAGAGCAGTGACATATAGACAAATTAGATTGTCTCTTGGTATACTGCCTACCTTACATATAAAGAAAATCAGTTCTCTGTATAGTTAGGCTATATATGTGTATGTTTTATTATAGAGCTTCAGTTGTAATTGAGATATAGACATAATTGTAATAATTAGGTAGGACTTCATCATGATTTCATGTGTTAACTTGTCTTCTCCAAATTGTTGTGTGAAATACATTCAAGTAAGTTACCCTTGAAAGTGTTGAATCTTGTGACAGATATCCCCGACTGGAAGGGCGAAGTCCGACAGAGAGGGGACAGTTCTTAAACGGAAAGAATATAATATGTGGTGGATATTGTGTCTAGTGAAAGATTAATTTTAGACGTGGTACGGGGCCCATGAACAATTCTGTTTTTTTAAAGCTCGGACATTCTGAGACTCCCGTTGATGACTTTGAATTTCTTTATTCAATTAGTTTGGAAAATATGATGATGATGATGACGATGATGATGATGATCTGCTGGCGGCTCTGTATGAGTCATGTGGGATTACTACGAACAAAGTGAACTCATGGTTGGGCCATGGAACTAAAAGGCACCTTTATATAACATCTCCAGAGCAAACAAGTGATTAGAAAACACAGCCAGAAAGTCCTAGGAAATATCGGATGGTTGTGATATTTATACTGGAAGACTAATTGTGAATTATTTTCTATGTCATTTTCTATGCTGAACGAGTAATTACCAGCCCATAAAACAATTAATTGGCTGGGAAAGGGTGACGTCAGGGTGTTCCAATTGAGGTCCAAAGGTGTTTTATTATTATCTGTATTTGTTTCCATTGATGATTGCTAGACAAGTCACTTAACCTAATGTCGTGATGTTTGGTTATATGTTTGGTTTGACCGTGTTAGAGTCTTGGGAATTCTTAGTAGCGATTCAATACAACAGTTTAGTTCTCACTGGTTTACACAACCATAAAATGTCAACGTACAACAAAGCAAAATAAAAATACCCTGCAAAGAACATGAAAAGTAGAAAGTGTGAGTATACCTACTGCACCACATGTGCATGAACTTGCAGTATCATCAACTTAGTGAATTAAATCATAAGTTACTTGGCAGCACAAAATGGCCACATTAATATACATCAAACCTATTAGTTATATTTCCTTAAACGGCAGCTCACCTGCTAGATAATAAGGATAATTTAGTATAAAACTACACTGTTTTAAATATGGACTAGTAATACC